ATGTGAGTGACTGAGCCTGATTAAGAGCTTGTGTGTGAGAAAAGTTGCCAGAAGGGAAGAAAACTGTTGTTAGTGACTCTGTGATTTATTGCGTCATAAATGGTTTTAGTGCTGCGATAAACATCAAAGACAATCTGCAACCTGAAGCTGGGCTTTTACTTTGACTGTAAATCTTTAGTTTAGCTACGCATGATTAAAGTATAATTAATTTTTTTATTTCTGGTTTTATTTCTAATGGGTTTTTTTTCACACCTAGTTTTAATGTTTCATTCAACAATAATGACCTTTGTGTGTACAGGTGTGTGCGTACCTGCAGCCTCCTCCACACATATGGAGACAGCTTTTTGACGGCGTACGCTGTGAGCAGGACGGCCGTAAATTTCCTGAGTCTGGAGCTCCGCCTCAGCTGAGCAGGCAGCTTCTCATAGGTCAGCTGCATGCTGACAGGTAGCCCACGAACGACCAATTGATGCACAGAAATCGCAGCGTGTCACCTAAGGTCAAACCGAACCTGATCCCAGACGGGTCCACTGTGAACCGATGCGGGTTTGTCAAGGAAACGCCATGCTGACCTCAGAGCGTGAGCCACCACCTGCACAGACAGGATCAGGTTTTAGATTACACCTCAGTCCAGCTGCAACCGTTAGACAGTTCATGCACTCCATAACACTGCAGAGTAAGCAAACAGCTGCACAGGGCCCAACAAGGCCCTCCAAAAAAGAAACATGTGGCTGTGAATGAATGATAGGATCGCACGGCTCTGTGTTCACAATCGTGTAGTGAAAAAAGTAGCCATCAATCAATTTTTATTATACTAAAAAAAGCAAAGACATGTGCATTTGTTTTTTATTGTAATGACTGATCAACATTTCTTGCTTTGTCTGAGACTAACCCACTGCTCTGGTGGAGTCACACCAACCAGTCTTAACTGGGAGAGCTCTTTGATTTCACCCATAAATAAAGACATTAGCAGTACAATCTGGTGCATGACCCATTCAGCAGAATTCAGGAAATTAAGGGCCTGACTCTCACAATTTCCTCCAGGACCCCCACATGAATGTGCTCCTTTCTATATTATCTACACCCGTGTGTGTCAGTGTGTAATGCAGGGGTGTCACGCATGCAGCCCGGCCTGCCAGAGGATCTGATCCGACACCCTGAATGACTCTGCAAGATGAGAAAATTGCAGAAAAGTCTTCAATAATTTAATCTTCTTAATAAAGTAATCTGCTGTTCTATAAAAACATCAAATAAAATTGTTACTTAGACCTAAATAACTCCACCTGAGCTTTTAAAG